AGGCCATGCCGTACCGGGCGGGGCTGCTCCGAGGGGGGCGGGGGGAGATTTAGCGGCAGAAAGCGGTCGGTGTGGGGGAGGAGGCCCCTGCTGCCAGTCCTGTCGGTAACGAATTACCTCCATTGTCTTGTTGTTCAGCCGGCGAAGGGATAATCTATAGAGGGATGTTTAAAATCGTCGGTGGCGCGGGCCCTCTGTGGCTCAGAGGCTGGTCCCAGTCTTGCCTGGGACTATCTAAGGACAGTCTTGGGATGTGGAAGGCGGTAATTTGTCAACGGGGAAGGAGGTAGCACGACCCCCATCACTTCATAAGTAGTGCAGCCTGTTAGCACACGAGTGGCCTATGCTGAGTTGAGAAATAAATCCGATAACCTGGCGCTGTTTAGTGTTCGTAGAAATCCTTTGGACTGCGGGTTCGCGGTAGATGTGTGTGCTTCTGGGTGTAGCATCAGCACGTGCCGAAAAGTCGGAGGAAGACAGGGTTCCCAACCCGGGTATGTCACCCACTTAAGACTACCTTCATGTGTCATATTGGGATATAACAAACCCAGCAGGTCCTAGTTCCACAGGTTTCAGTTTTGGAAGAAGGTTATATTTTTGTTCTACTTAACTTCACCTGGAAGGTGAAAACTTTTAGTTATTGATGAGACACAGTCATGGCGCTTTTAGACGTTTTGAAAAAAAGGTGTTCTAGTGTTTTACTCAGAGAAAAGGTGATAGCTTGGTGGAGGAGGTGAAGCATAAACCTGTGTGATGCCTTTAGTTGGTCTTTTCCACAAATGCTTTTCTTTGTTGCTCTTGAGCAGGCTTTAAGCTTGACAAAATTTATTTAATGCAACAGATGTTCATTAGAGCTTAGATAAAGGTGGTCCAAATGTTCTGCTGGTAGTAGACAAACTTTCAAAAACTAAGGGTGTAGCTTCTCATATTATAAAAACGTATAATTAAGCTAAATTCCTGCATGTCATTTATAAGTGAATGACAAATAAATATTAGGTACATTTGAAATCTTTGTAAAACTACTCAATGTTTAATTGAGGTTTGTATAAAGTAAGTGGCTGTCTTTTCTCTATACTCTGGTAAAAAGTGTTTTAGTGTTTATTAATTTAAACAAAAAAAATAGAATAATGTAACTGCTTATAAATACAGTAATATGTATGAAATCTTAAGCTGGCCCCAAAGTGCAATTTTTTGTGTTCTGTGCATGTCAATATATAGTAACTTGTGTGAAATCTTTTAGCTATTTTCTGCAGGTATTGAGTTGTTGAATATGCAGAAATCATGTTCTTTGCCATTCAGGGTCTTCAGCAAGTGGTTAACTCTTGCTTGAAGGACTATGCTTACCAGCAACTGACTTTTCTTCATGCTTTTGAATCAAAGCATCATGGTCTTGTCATGTACTACACAACTGTTAAATTGATATAAAATCCAAATAAGAGTGCCCTTTTAAAAGTGCCAGACATTGAACTAATGCGTAAGAATTCTTGTTGGAAATCACTGATCTTTCACAGACATTTTCTGATTAAAATATTTGTTAATCCTTAAATCATCAAACATTTGTACATAGATGTAATTTAGTCACAGGCATAGTCTTGGGTTTGCATAGGTTTTCTCAAGCCAGTTAATATTTTTCTTGCAGCATACTTGTCTGTATTTGTTAACTGTTCAGGCTGTTGTGTTACCAGTTAATATTTTGGGTATGGGGGTCTCTGTCTCGGTAAAGATGAAATAATCCAGCAGTGAAAGCCATTCACTTTAAAAGTTGTCCTTGTTTGACCTTTTAGTTTACCTTATATTTGTCCAAAGTGCTTCTGTTGAGCTGATGAGACTCGTTTTCAATAGAATGGTCATTTTACCTTACCAGAAAAAAACATGCTTCAGTCAATAATTGATATCCTAATTAATGGAAGAGTTAAGTTTGTCTAGATCCATCTTCATCATACCCTGTCAGTCAACCAAGTTTCCGTTGACTGGAGAAGAACCAAAGTGTATGTTTCTTGATTTGTCCAGTGAACAAATGTTATTTGTTATTTTTCCTTTGTTATTTTTCCTTTGACCGTGGTTAAGTCATTAATTGTTCTGTGCTTTAGTTCTTCTTTCACTAAGTTTTATCAGACTATATTGCCTGCACATAAAATGCTGTGAGAACTTTTAGAGTTCAGATATGCTAAAAAAAATATGCAGATATTTCAGTCTTGTTGGATTTACTTTCCTCACTGTGAAAATAAGTTACAGAGAAGGATACCGCTGGCTCTTATAGCCGTCAACTTCTCATGTAATTTCTAGCTGATGATGTACCCTGAGGTGCTTGCCCATCTCTGGCACTGTCTTACTGAGGAAAGCTGTGTTGTACAAGGCGTTGCAACCAGGCTCTTTAAGTATGCTACTGGAAAGCAGCAAGAAGACACTGTTACCTTTTGAAGCAGTCTTTGTACTGCATGTATAAAGTGTTTCCCAGAAATGGTGATGAAATTAGATATTTTTAACTATGCAGCTATGGAATGGTACTCTGAAAATAATACACAGTCTTGTTTTGTCTTTTATTATTAACATATTTATAAAGGCACAGTTGCTAGATAATCATTTACTTGCAGGTTTCTTCATTGTCATTCAAGAGAATTTATAACTTAACTTTTAGGTGTGTCTTAAGTATATGAGATTAACCCCAGTGTGTATGAGCTATTAAGACATTATTTTAGATGAACAACCCAATTTGTAAATTTTTTTTTTTCTGAAAAGAGCGGTCTTCAGTCAGTCATACTTTTTTTTTTTTTTCTTTTTTTTTTTTTTTTTAATTCCAAGCTTAACAGAGTTTGTTTAGGAAAATGTTATCCTGAAAAGTGTCTTTCAGAAGTTACGTTTAAGCTTTTTCATGTTCTGTAAGTGACAGGGAAAGGAAGAATGCTTTAGTTTGTTGTCTAGTCACTATAGCATGCCATCAGATTCACAGAATGTAGTAGGGCTTTATTCAGTGTCGTTCATTGCCTGCTTAATAGATACAAGTGTCAGAACGATGGAATGATTAAATTAAATGATTGAACTCCAAACTACTGGAAGCTTTAGAGTGAAAGGTTGTCAAAGTGGAAAAAACAAGCTGCTTATTACAGAGTGCCTTTCACCAGTAATTTCCAAATGCTGAGATGCTGCAGGTTTAGATGCTTTGGGGTTGGTGTTTATAGTGATACCTCCATCTTGAATTGTTTTTAAACCTTTTCTAACTAACATGGTCTTCATTTATAACAACACCTACAGCTATATATCATAGGGTGAGTAAGAACAAGAACAGAGCATGAGTTTCCTGGCTCCGATCATGGGTTCTCTTTTAAAGTTGTTCATACAACATTTTATTGCAAGTACTTGATTATTTTCAGTTCCTTTATCTTTGATCAATGTATTTTGGTGTGTGCTAGATGAGAGATGCTTTGGGAAAGGATGGTTTTAAACTGTGTGTATGGAGGCTGGTCCAACGTCAGAAATCCCCTTGGGGGCAGTAAGGAACCAAGGGACCTTTGTCTTCATTAAGAAAAAGTTACATTCTTGATGCACGTTAACAAGTACAAGGTAAAAACCTAGTGTGCAGGGAAACTTGCCGTTTTCTCATGACTTGGCAAATAGTTACTGTGTGTGCTTAGCTAGCCTTTGCTAAGAGCATGTTCCTTTTTTTCTCTGTGAACAGAAGAGCAAATAGGCTTCAGAATGTGCAGTGTTCTGGTGAAATGAGCATCAAGGATGTTTGCAAGATCTGATAAGCATGAATGTATTTTTTGTGTACCATATACATACCATGTACATTGTAGCTGCATAAGATGTGGCAGAACTAGCCTGCAGAAAGTTGAGGTCAGAATGACTTCCACACCTGCTGAGTTCTTAAAAAAAGAATTGAGAGAGTGCTAGAGGGCATTTTGCTGAATCAGCATGGCCTTACAGTTCCTGACCTTACCTTTCTATAAAAAATCCCAAACTCTTTCATCTTAGTGTAACAGTTGTGTTCACTTAGTCCTTTTGATCAAAAATTGCATGTAGATTTTTTTTTTTCAAAATTGAAATGGGAGAGACATGTTGAAATAGTATTTTTTTTCAGCTCCTTTATAAATAAATTGTAGCCTTTATTTAAATGTATGTTACTTTGAATAACTATATAAATAAACTGGGGTTCTACTTCAGCAATATATAAGTATCACCCTTCTGGTTTGCCTTTTTTGTAACAGAAAAGGAGGTACCTATAGTAGTGTGTCTGTTACAGTATGTTGAATTCTTAATGTCCAAGAAGAATGCACAGGGGTCTTTTTACCTGAGGTGAAGCTTCTTGTTGTTATCGTTTAGTGGCATACAGGCTTTGTGTGAGATATAATTCTCGTATTAAAGATAAATGTAACTGACTTGAGTATCATTACTGGGGGGAAAAGTGCTTTTCTGTATCATAATTAACCATTGATAGTTCACATGCCATGAACTGGTCTCTTTAATGTTCATTTCAAACTTCATTTATATTTCAGGTTATATAGCTGGTATTACACTTCTCAGAACTGTGTTTTAGCACATGGCTAATACTAACCCTGCTAGGAAAAACTGCAGTGAAATATGCAGAAAGATTATATGTTCTGGAACAGGGATTGATATTGAAAGTGGTGCAACGTTTGTGGTCTGATAGAACACATTCCTCAGCTAGTGAGGCTGCATAGCAAAGATTGCTCTTGGGAGAAGTTCCTGAATTCTTTGGCTCTTGAACCACAAAGTCATACCAGTGACATGGCATGTTGTAAGGGGAAAGGACTTGAATGGAGTTTTCGTGGGGTGGTGGTTTTTTTGTTTTTTTCTTATGTTGGGTTACATGTTAGGAAACAGACTTTGACTGTGACAGAACCTTTTTTTTTTTCCTGGTTATTGTTGTAGTTTTGTAAATTGTATTTCTAAACAGGGAGCAAGAGAGTAGAAGACAAAGTT